CATCTTTCCAGTGTGGACTTTTGGTTTTGAGGGTGGGTCTTGCTCTACACAGCCCAACCTGGTCTCAAATTTAGTTGTCCTGTTTCAGTCTCTTAAGTGATTACACTACAGGCTGCACTCTACCTAGTTACTTCCACACTGTGGTATTGTCATTAAGGAGTCCATCATAGTGCTCTTTTGGGAACATTATGTAGCCTGGTGTTCTTTTAAACCCATGGGAGTCAAGAGGCCACCATGGCACACCTAACTGTATAGTTCCCAGAGTCCCACGCATCATGAATTTGTTAATAACTAATGATTTAACTTCAGTTCGTTTTCTTTCTGTAGGTTGCAAAAGCAGGCTGGACCCTGGAAAATGTTGATGTGTTTGAAATCAATGAAGCCTACGCAGCTCTCTCTGTTGCAATAGCTAAAGAACTTGGATTAAACCCTGAGAAGGTAACCAACAGAAGCTTTGCTGTTTGCTAATGAACTTGCACAATCCAAATTTAAGGCTGCTTCTGCCCGTTGTTGACTTGTTTTCACAGTGAGGGCATCAGCAGTATTTATTCCTAAGCTTGAGAGTGGGAGTTGAAAGGGTGGTTTGCTAGCATAACCCTGAGAGGACAAAGATAAACGGGGGTGTTAGCTTGTGTCCACAGAAGACTGACTTGCTCTCCTCCCCTCCTTGTAGGTCAACATCGATGGAGGAGCCATTGCCTTGGGACATCCTCTGGGAGCATCTGGCTGTAGGATTCTAGTGACCTTGTTACACAGCCTTGAGAGAATGGGCGGGACGCGTGGTGTGGCAGCCCTGTGCATTGGGGGTGGGATGGGGATAGCAATGTGTGTTCAGAGAGGATGACCTGCCTGACAGCCACCACCCCTGAGCGCTTCTTGCTAAATCAGTGAAACATTACATTGTATGTGAAATCAGAGGACCAAAGTGAGGACAGGAAGCCAGGTGGTCAGCTTGCTGTACTTTAATGAGACACCCAAGGCCAAGACACTGCACCTGACACTGCTATAAATAAAAGGGAAATCCAATCAATCAGTCATCAAGGGCTCCAGAGTGAACGGCGTTTTCATAACTTCCATGTTTATCGTCTTTGCTTTCTGGGTGTAATTTTATCAGATCATCGATTCGAAGAATGGTAATCGCAGCTTCTGTTGCAAACTTCAGGCTCTTCACTTTAACTATGGTTGGTTCAAAAACCCCTGCTTGCTTGTTGTCTCGTGGTTTTCCATTGATCAAATCAAGACCAATCCTGTAATGGTGAAAATCTGATTCAATGACCTACCTCTTCCAAGCAGAAGTGTGTTCCAGCTATTCTGGCCCACAAGACTGGGATTCTAACAAGTTTATCTCTAGGAGTAGAAAAGCTGGTAGTGTAGCAGAGAAACCTTATCTGCCAAACATTTAGCAGTCACATGTTGTACGCTGATAATATTATGTTCAACCATGTAGTGCATACAGTTTGGTGGTCAAAAGATTCTTCTGCCTAGTGACAGCATGGCTGTCTTGCTTGGTGTTAAGTATGTTTTATGACGTCCTCAGAAGGACACACTGTTCTGAGACTGCACTCACTGTAAGCTGAGGGGGCTGCCTGAAAAGGTGAGAATAACCTAAGACCACCCTCTTGGACTTCCTCCAGACCACCCAGGGAGTCAGAATGGGGTCCAGAGATGACATCTAAAAGCAACAGTGCTAAAAATCAGCAGCCCCCATTACACATATAGGCACCAAGCAACAATGATGCCTGTAAAGTTTCAGTATGTGACAAGTCCCTTCAAATATTTCCCAAAGGTACAGGGAGAGACAACGGTACTGTGATGAACTTAAAACAGACCCACAGCAGTTGACAATAGAACACAAGGAAATCGTAAACTCACCACTTTAGATTTTTACGTTCTGGGTTAACTTGAGCCTCATTGTGAAAAGCTCTTAACTTGGCAACCAGGTCTGTGGAATCTTGGGCAGCGTTCACTGCCAGTGTATTAGGAATAACAAGAAGCGATCTTGCAAACTCTGCGATAGCAAGCTGTTCCCGAGATCCCTAAAAAGAAAAATACGAGGTGTCTTCATGAAAGCAAACGGCATACAGAAGTAGTTCTGACAGGTACACCCAACACCACCGTCTCCTGTGCCTTTCTGAAACCATCCTTACCATACTGGTTGCATAGTTCTCAAGATAGATGGACAGGGCAGCTTCTACAGCACCTCCACCTGGGACCACAGATTTTGACTCCAAAACTCTCTTCACCACACAAAGAGCATCGTGTAAAGATCGCTCCATTTCATCACACATGAAATCATTTGCTCCTCGTAAGATAATTGATGCAGATGTACGAGCTTTGGTACTATGAAAAACAAAAAGTCATTAGTATTTTTTAATTAATGAAAGCAGCATCAATACAAACACCCTTGGTTAAATCCTGCTCACATTTAAGCATAAGGCACCAAGAACAATGTTTAGTCCACGCACAAGAGACAAAATACTATCTCAATTCACAATGGTCTAATATAATTTTATCCCACGCCTAAACTGATTCTATCAGTGAGTGACTAGAGCGGCAAGTAAAGGGAAAAGAATTCTTTTCACAACAGAATCTGCACTGCTCTGTAACTTACAACAGTCGCTCTTACTTTTTGATTAAGATCAGCTCATCATCACAGATTCTCTCCTGGACTACCTCCTCCGCCTGTCCCAACATTGTAGCTTCAAAAGTCTCTTCGCCTTCCAGATTGGCCAGTGTGGACAGGATAGTCGCTACATGAGAATCATAGGACACACATTTGTTTTCATGATTGTAGTTTAGTGATTTTCCTCATGAGAAGAGCAACGTATTATTTCAAGGTCATAGACAAGACACTACTCCTTAACACAAACTGTCACTTTAAGGTCAAATCAGTTCACTCATTTCCAACAACTCAGCAGCAAGCAACTTTTCTAATTACCTAAAAATAATAAAATATGGCTCTATAAATCTATCTGAGCACAACAGAGAAGAACAAGAAGTTTTTGAAACTCAGTGTCAATATTTCAGTTCAAAGACTTGTGACCCAGTCACATATTACTATGTAATGTGTCTTGGGCTGGGAGAGACCTACCTCCAGAAGCTTTAGCAATGCGCTTAAGGTCCCTTTTTAAAACTCTTCTCACAGCCATGGCACCAGCCTCCACAAAATACTTCAGACACATATCATCTATCCCACCAGTGGTGAGAATGACATTGGCCCCAGTTGCCAGAATCTTCTGAATTCTCTCCTTGGTGATATCTGATTCTCTACAGAGAAAGTATTTCAGTAAACCCAAATTAACAACTTTAAAAATTTAAATAATAGTGCTATAAGTTTGACTTGTTATTCTTTTTCACTAAAATCAAAAGTTAAATTAGTCTAATTATACAGCAGCAATCCCCTAAGAGCAACGTGGAGCGGAGCGGAGCAGTGTGCTGGAGCCGTGTCACAGCAGTTGCAGTCAGCACTGCCAGCTGTGTCTCACTACTGTAGTACATAGTATCTTAGGTGAGAAGCCATACACAGTACCAACACTTGAGGCAATGCTGCTGTCCATGCTGACCACCATTCATCAGCTTAATGATCCATCTGTTTCGGACATGCGTGGCTTGACTAACCATTACTTTATAACATAGTACAAGTGCTGATTTACAAACATCCTTTCATAGGCAAAAATCTTCCCATATACCTCTGTCTAATCTGGTCCAATTTCTCCGGGTCTGTAATAACCACCTGCACACCAAGCTTCATTTTTGTTTTCTGCAGGCTGAAGTCAAGACAGGCAATTTTTGCATTAACTATTCTCTTGGGCATGCCTGTAAATGAATAAAAGGTCAACTATAACAATGCCAGGGTTCACAAAAGACAGTTATCCTTAAATACATAACAAAAAATTTCGTGTTACATATAAATCAAATTTAGATGGTAATTTATTACACTAAACCTCAGGAAAGTCTGACAGTCACAAGTGCACACAGTTTCTTTCAATTGATACTCACCGCAAATTCTAAAAAAAAAAAAAAAAAAAAAAAGGGCAGAGTTTCACAGTGTAGTCAAGGCCCTAAATTCTACCTATCACTCCTCAGTGCCAGTGCCACTATTCCTGGTCCCCATCACAACTATTTAAGCCTATGTAGATGTATACTACGAAAAAACACACAGAGACAAAATCAAACCAGCCAAGCAACAAAAACTCGAAACAAACAAAGTGACTCGGAACAGTAGCATTCTCATTTCCACGTTACATACCCTGTGATCCCACCACACAGTTGAGTGCGTAGCCGTTGATCAGCATGCTTTCTACCTGACTTCTCCCATGGGCTTTCAGAATATTAACAGAATTGACTGGATAGCGAGCCTGGCCTCTTGTATCTGTGTATTTGACAGCAAGTACAGCATCCACCACCATATTGGCGAAGAAATCACCATTTCTGAGACAACAGTTAAGGACAACAGATTTGGAATAAAAGACCCAAGGGCACAAAAAGCAATTCAACTAGACTTTCTTTTTAAAAATAATTCAGCATTAAGAAAGTACTATTACTCCCATCGAGGTGACTTCTGTCTACTTACCACCATCTACACTTCAAGCACCCTTCCACTGTGGAAAGGCTAGGGAGGCAGCAGCAGCAGGCAGCATCAGTCAGTTTCAGTTGTTTTCCCTCTAACTGGATCAATTTGCATTAGACAAGCATTGTAAGTTTTACTGCATAAAATCGACATTCTATAAAACCCAGCTGTATTTTTAAGAGTGAAAGGGGGATAGGGACAAATTTCACTAGATCATTTAAGGATACATTCCAATAATTTTGGAAGACATGGATGTCTTAGCGGCATTGATCAGGCAGTCTCTTCCAAGTTCATCTGTGTTAATAATTAGGTTCTCACTGATATAGCGCACTGCTTCCCTGTTACAGGCACGGCAAAGAAAATATAAACATACTACTCAAAAGTTTTGCGTTTCACCACATTTAGCACACTGTCAAATGCCACAGGCAATGGCTTTCTGTTCAGCCATTTCATATAGGAGGAAGACACCGAAAAGCCCTCCTCCTTCAGATCACGGCACTTTTCATCTATCCCATAAGCATAGCCACTAAAATCTATTAGAAGAAAACGTGGCAGTCAACTGGGAAAAAAGTACCTGGGTTGAGTACTTCAAATAGGACCTCCTGAACGCTAAGGTACAGCAGCTTCATCAATCACAACGTAAGACAACTACAACAACTACACAAGTAACATTTTCTTTGAATGTAATCTTACTTGCAGGCAAGCCGATAGCCACTAATAACTGATGTTGGGTGGATTTTCTGTTTGACTAGTTCATCTGCATTTTTCAGAAGCTCTGCTGCAATAATTACCTGTTGAGTAAACACTACATTAAGTATTTATAGCATTCAATATGCACTATGCATACAGAAAAGCATTAAAATGACCTAACATCCTTTACTTGTTTTTTCAAAACAGGGTTTCTCTGTGTAGCCCTGGCTGTCCTGGAACTCACTTTGTAGACCAGGCTGGTCTTTAACTCAGAAACCCACCTAACAATGTCTCCCAACTGCTGGGATTAAAGGCGCCACTATGCCCAGCTATGACCTAGCATTACTATGTAGCTGCAGCAGACAAGTGAGTAGCAGCTTGCTGAAAAATATGAAATAAAGACCACCACAAAGTACTCTTTATCAACGGTCCAAGCTACAAACACCAGAAAAACGCTAAAATCCCAGTACAACAGAATCTATATCCATTACATTTAGAGATCGAGTGCAGCAAAAGCTATATAGCTAACATTTGAAATCATTTGTGCTAGTCTAGTATTTTTTTAAACTTTAGCTTTTTAAAAAGATTTATTATATATACAATGTTCCTTCTGCATGGACAGAGAGGGCACCAGACCTCACTACAGATGGTTTGTGAGCCACCATCTGGTTGTTGGGAGTTGAACTCAGGACCTCTGGAAGAGCAGCCAGTGCTAATGTTAACATGAGACATCCCTCCAGCCCCCAGTCTAGTATTTTTAACTAAATCTTAAAATCATTTAAAATATGAAACACTAAGAACCATTTTTCTGAATTAAAAAACAAAAGAATTTGTCCCCTTCTTTTGAAAGGAGTTAAGGCATTTGTCACAATATCTATATCAAGTTAGACAAAGGTCATTTTCATCGTTTAGGAACAGATCCCATTCTTTCAAGGCAAAGTTAAATCTCTAAATAAATTTCCCCACAATCTGTTTAGCTAGAGCTAACACCTTCCTCATCAAACAGTACTTTATCAGCACATTGGATAATTCATCAAGCGTATGTCATTAACCACACTTGCTGATTAGCTATTGGCTCCTTACGGTAGCAAATTGACTCTCTCAAATTTCTACTCTAAATTCCCAAGATTTCCTGCCCACATTTAAAATTCAAAAGTATCTATTAAACAACAAACCAAGGAGCCCAAACATTCTCTTCTTTAATGAACTCTTTTCTAAGCTGGGTGGCGGTGGCTTACACTTTAATAACAGCACTTGGGAGGCAGAGACAGGCTGATCTACAAAGACAGTCTCCAAAGCTATAGAGAAACCCAGTCTTGAAAAACATTGAAAACAACCCCCCCAAAAGAAACTCTTTTCTACATGTAAATATTATCACTGCAAGAGGATTAAATATGAGTCCCAAATTCATGAGACTCCAGTATTTAAAACAAGCTTATATTCAACTACCTTAAGTTCTCTCCCTACTTAAACTGTACACACTAGTCACAATGATTAGTTTTCGGATGTCTGAGACCATAAACACCTGACTCACTTCTGACCTAGAGCAAACGATTCTGCCATGGGTTCAACTCTCCTGACTGTTCTCTAGGCAGTCCCAGTAGCCTCTCACCACTGAGGTAGTTCCATCTCCAACTTCTTTGTCCTGCAGGTCAGCCAGCTCACAAAGAACTTTAGCCGCAGGATGCTCTACCTCCAGTAACTTCAGGATGGTGGCTCCATCATTAGTAATGGTTACATCCTGAGAAATATGAAGGAAGCGGGTCAGCACAAAAACCATACACTCAGCTTTAATGTATTTAGGTAAAAACAAAGACTTTAAAGAGAAAATAATTTCCAAGTTTTATTGAAACTATTTTTATCAAGGTAACCAAAACCAGTTCAGATATACTTACACCAATATCATCCACCAACATTTTATCCAAGCCAACTGGCCCCAGAGAACTTTTAACAATGTTGGCAATAGAAGCTGCAGCCATAACTGTAGAGGAACAGTGGAAAAAAAAACAATTTAGATCAACTTACAAACTAAGAGACACTCAACCACATATGGTCTTCTCAAATCTACAAATCTGTACTTACTCTTTTTGAAAGACAAAATTACCTATTTAAGAACTAGTGAAGGTTAAATATTTTTATTTTGAGTACTGATATGTCAAAAGTTCCAAAAAAGTTCAAAAAATAAGTACAAAAAAAAAACCCTGCCACTACTCATTGCAATTAAAAAACAAACAAACAATTGATTTGAATTTAGTTTACGTGCATTGGTGTGAGGGTGTCATATCTCCTGGAACTAGAGTTACCAACAGTTGTGAGTTCCTATGCTGGGAATTGAACCCGAGTCTGCTGGAAGTGTTCTTAACCCCTGAACCATCTCTCTATCTCCGCAGAAAAAAATTTAAGGGACACTTCAGCCTGCTTCACTCTAGCAAGTTTTAGTAATAATAGTAGATAGTTCGTCTGGGTAGTGATCGTGTTTCGGGGGGCAGCTTAAATAACAAAATGAATAAACATAACCACGATTCTAAGCCGCTAAATGCTTTCGAAAACAGGTTCAACTACTGTAATGCACGTGTTAATTCGTACTACCGCTAACAGCGACACCGGTAGCTCAGTACCGCTTCCTAACACTCGCTTTACGTTCCGTTAGGTTTTCCTGGGTGCAGCTGTCAACTGCGAGACTGGAAATCCAAGCACCCGCCCCGCCGGAGGCAGCCCCGCAAAGCCCACCTAAATTCTTGCAGGTATTTCCTCGTGGGCCAAACGGGTCGTGTCAGGGATGCTCCCACCCGGCAAAGAACAAAGGGGCCGTGCGTGGGGCGTGGCAGGCGAGGAGGTCTGGAGCTCGCCTTCCGTGCAGTGCGGCTCTCCATCGGGGCGTGGACGCCCACACCCATCCCCGGCACTCCCCCAAAGCGTGCTGTGCTCGAACGTTCTTCCCTTATACGGAAGGGCGCCGGGGAGCCGAAGCGGCCCGCGGGTGAGGGCTGTGCTGGGCCCGGTCTCCTCGGGGGACTTCACGGTGCCAAGGGGGTCGCCCCGGCCTACCGACCGCAGGCCGGGCCTCGACCTGCGGCGTCGCGGGCCGGGCCCCGGATTCCCTCGCCCTTACCGTTTTGGGAGCGGATCGCTTCCCCAGTGCTGCGGTCCCCGAACACGGACAGAGGGCCCTCCATCTTCAGGGAGCCTGGCCGACCTCACTAACACCGCACACAGTTGGGATCTCCGCTGCGAGGCCGGACGGCGGCCACCACGGCGCGACCACAGCGTGGAGAGGCCCGAGAGACGCGCGCGCGGTCTGCTGGGTAACACGCCCCGCCCGCTCCGCTAACCGCGGGGCACGCTGGGAAAAAGGAGTATATGGCGGCGGGGGGCAAAGGAGAGAAACGGAAAACGCTGGAAGTGGAGGGCGGGGCACCTACAATTTTCGTCCAATTAGAGGCTGGAAAAGAAAGGCGCGAAAGTGGGGGACCGAAGTCAGGGACGGAAGGAGCACTGTGGCGCGCTTGTTCGGCTTGCGCGTGCGCGTTTGTACATTCTAGGACTTTCTAGAAAAGTTGGTAGGGCTGAGTTGGGGTGTGGTGGGGGGGCGAAGCCCCCTTCCCGGGGGCGGCCGAGCGCGTCTCGTCAGAGCTCCGCCCCATCTTTAGGTGTCGGGGAGCGTTCGGCGAATCGGCTGAGACTCGATCCGGTCTGGCCAGAGCGGACAAGGCGCTTCCGCTCTTTGAGAAAGCCGTGCACCCCGCTCTCCCAGAGCTCCGGAGCGTGTGCGCCCCAGTGGCCTGTAGCTCTGCGGACCAGACCCCTAAAACAACAGCCTGGACCCACGCGTGACTCAGGAATGGCTTCCGGGAGCGTGTCCCGCCCAACACCCCGACGTCAGCGGCGATTGGATCGCAGAGACTGATCGCTCTCCCGACCACTCAGAACGAGGGGTCGTGTTAGTTCCGGGTCCTGGAGGCCCCGAGGGCCTGCTGACATCGGTAGCTTTTCCCTCAGTTAAGATGGCTCCGGCCAGTCCTCCTCTCGGACGACCGTGAGCGAAGGGAGGCAGGGCACCGGGAGGCTTTGCCTCCGTCCCGTCAGCGATGGCACTTCAGCCGCGGTTCTGGAAATGCCTGTCTGTTTGCAGGAACCTGGGTAACTAATCTCGCCCCGCTGACTTGGCTGTGCCCTGTGCACAGGACACGCGAATTTGCAAATCCGATTTGGCACCCGAGGTTCCGCGTGGGAAAGTGAATGCACAGCCACACCGGGGTGGCGTTAGAACGTTATGGGTCTGTGGTCAAATGGCCCTTTCTCCCCGCTTCTGGGCCTCGCGATTGGAATGGTTAGAGCATGCCCCTCGTGCCCGTGTTCGTCATTTTAAAGATTCATGTGGTCGTTTTCATTTCCTAGAGTGTGGGCTGGCATCCCTCGCGACCATTTCCACACCAGCGATTCAGCACGATGTGGCGACTAAGGAAAACGAAGCTGTGGCCCCGGAGTTCACCAACCGGAACCCTCGGAATCTGGAGCTCTTAGGGGTAGCCAGGAAAGAGCGGGGCTGGGCTACAGTGTGGCCCAGTCGTGAGTTCTGGCACAGGTAATTAAAGTCGGCTGTGCATAGCACCTTACATGTCATTTTCATCAATGCCTTGACCGACCCTGCCAGAGACACCCGAGGTTGATTGAGTCAGGAAGATGACGTGAGAGTAGAGAGCGACCATGGAGCAAACAACCAATAGTTGTCGTGAAGAAAGCGAAACGATAACTCGAGAATAAGACACTGTGTACTGACCACTCTGAAGACGTGACATGTCAAATATTGAGATCTAGTGGGCAGTGGTGGCGCAAGCCTTAGTCCTAGCACTCGGGTCTCTGTGAGTTCGAGGCCA